ATGCATTATTTGAGGCCCTGCAGAAATTAAAAGAAGGTTTGATCCTTGCATTTTCGTTACAATATTTTGAGGAAATCGAAATTATCAATTCATAATTCCTTTTTTTAAACTTTTGGCTGTTGAATTTTCCAGAATTGATGCTTTTGGGGTTTATTTCCTTATTATTGACGGTGTTCCAAGGGCCAGTAAGCCAAATATGCATTCCTGAAAATATATCCATAATAATGCTTCCTTGTACGTTGAAAGAATCTGGTGCCTCTAATCATCTCACTGCAACAACTGGGAGACATCTTTTAGCTGGAGGTAACAGTGTAGACCATTGTAGCCGTCATAAGGTATATATATTGTTGCATTGCTAAAATAGTTTCTTAAATAATGCTTGACGCGACTCAAATTAGGTCAATTTGTATACATATATAGAGTGTGATCCACAATCCACACTAATTGTTTTAAGTATATATCTTATTGATTTGTTTGTGTAGGGACAAGTTCCACTTTTATCATTGGAGGCATTACATCAACTGCACATTTTCATATTTGTGTTGGCACTCACACATGTTGTCTTTTGTGCCACGACCATGGTTCTTGGAGTTGCTAAGGTAGGTGTCCTTTAAATTTTTTTGAAAGAAAATTTGTACTTTCTTTAATTTCTTCTCAAAAAAATTCTGGAAGGGAACATTTTGAGCAAATACCAAATTGACAGTAGAAAAAGGATATATTTTGCCGCATGATAATATTATTCAAAAGCTTATAAATTAGCTTATATTGTCTCATTAATATCATGACCTTATGTTAGTGTTGACCTTTTATTTACTTGTAATTTGTAACAATATATTTCAATAATTAGTACGCAACCACGTAATGTAAAATTTACCACTTAACGCCTCCTTTAAATAAAATAGATACAACGTCAATGGGGACATTGGGAGCACTCAATTCAAAAGGAACCAAGGCCACACCATGGTAAACTTTGTGTTGATTATTATTTGGTATTTGTTTATATTCCTTTTTCTAAATTTTTCTGAAGTCAATATAGGATTTTTAACTAATTATTACCATGATATCTCCTCTTTGTGTAGTGCATATTATCCATCTTAAATCATTCATGGATAGAGCTGGTAGACGTTGGAGGAAATACACTGTCGTGAGTTGGACGGTAAGTTGATCGACCTGACGCATTTGGAATGACTGAAAACATTTTTCAAAAGTATTTTTTTTTAAAAATAATCGGTATTTGGATAGAGAGTGAAGAATACTTTATAGAAAAAATGTTATTAAGTAATGATAATTATTTTTCGATGCTTGGTTGGAGAGTAAAAATTTTCTAAAATATATTTATTAAATAATGAAAATAATATTAGCAAATCGGATAACCTTTTAATAAAGAAATTTAGTAGTATTAAAGATTGATGATAATGTTTAATTGTTGGTTGGAGCTAGGGGTGTACAAATGAAACCGACAAACCGCATCAACCCGCTAATTCGAGTCGAACCGAGAAAAAAATCTTACTATGGTTTGGTTTGGTGTTGGAAGAAAAATCCCGACCATAATTGGTTTGGTTTGGTTTTAACTAAACAAAAAAGTCAAACCGAAACCAACCCGACATTATATGTATAGAAGGTTTAAATATGTTTAATTAATACATAAAAAAATTATTGTACCGTAGTTTATAAATATTTCTTAAATTTTTCGTAGCTAACATTATCTTTAAACGTATTTTTCAAGTTTGGACTTTAATTTTTGGATGCTCCAATAAGTTTTGTAGTCCATAAATGGTATCCTAAACCAAAATCAAGTTAATACTAATGCTAATAAAAGACATTCAATTCAATAGTACTATGAATGAAATAGTGTTGGATATCTACTTTTTAGTTTTCCCGTGGTTTAGATAAAATACATAGCTTATTTTTCTCTTTAGTGTTTAGTGAGGTAAATAATAGTAGTACTTATTAGTCGTACTTATTTTAGCAACTTAATTTTAAATTATGTTTGTTTTCATTATGGTTTATTAATATATATTTATTTTATGCGATTTTATTATCTTGTTGAATATTTTTAGTACAATGCCATGACTCATCTCCTATTTATATTATTTTATTGAAAAATACCTTATTTAGTTCTGTCTTACTAGGATTAAAGAAATATTTGGAACACAAATTCTATGTTTTGTGCTATGAAGACTTTATGGGGAAAAAAACCCCGAAAACCCGAAAAATCCGAGAAACAAAGATTAAAAAACCCGATTTTTATTTGTTTGGTATGGTCTTTAGATTTAATAACCCGACACAATTAGTTTGGTTTGATAATTAGAAAATCCGAATCATTCCGACCTATGTACACCCCTAGTTGGAGCAATAATATGATGTGAAGGAAATCGACTTCCACACAAAGTGAGAATATGGTTTGATAAAAAAAAAGTTCCTTGAAAATATTTTTTGACAACCAAATATCAAGATATGACTTTTTTTCGAAAAATATTTTTCTCATACCACAAATATATACTAGTATTCCTCAGAGAAAAATGTGGAAGACATAACATTTTTCTTTTCCTTTTTTTTCTTGGTACAAGAGTTAACATTTTTCATGTGTATATAAATAGGTGGCATTTTTTAAACAATTTTATGGTTCAGTAACCAAGTCAGATTATATTGTCTTGCGGTCTGCATTTATCAGAGTAAGCATTAGTAATTCTTTCCATTATCTTTCATTTTCATTTATCATTCCTTTGTGTCAATTCTATGTTTTTATTGGAACTACAGCTTTTTAACTACAATATATTCGTTTATGTATATAGGAACATTGCCCAACCAATTCTAAATTTGATTTTCACAAATATATGATGCGGACACTAGAGCATGATTTCAAAAAGATTGTCGGAATCAGGTAAATTAGCATACATATACTAATTATAGTTAGGATAATAATTTGATAATTTTGATTCAATTATATATAATCAAGCTAATTTCTGAAAAATGATCTTGAACAGTTGGTACTTGTGGCTTTTTGTCGTTCTCTTTTTGTTGATGAACATTGCAGGTACTTTTCTATCATAGTATATGAATCTTAATTCTAATCTTGCTTTTTTATTTTTTTATTTTTTTTCTTCCCATTTCTGGAATTATGTATTTCATTTTGAACAATAAAACGCTCCTATTAATGTATGGTTCAAATTTGCAGGATGGCACACCTACTTTTGGCTATCATTTTTACCCCTGGTTGTAAGTGACTAATCTTTTCTTCCCCACCCCCTTTTTAATGCCAAAAACTCAAAAAGAAAAGAAAAGAAAAGAATAAAAGAAGCCATTTTGGGTAAAACTTAAATCATATTCAATTTCAAACTTAGACTTTAATGAAATATGCCACCGTATTGCAAGTCCATTGAAATCTGACCTTTTCTATGCAAAAAAAAAAATGTGAAAAGCTGAGTGCTAATTAAAGTTTACTTCAAGTTATTCATCTAACAATAAGATAATTATTATTGGGATTTTTACATTCCTATATACTATTGAAAAATATTATAAACATGTTATAAAATCTTGAATTATGGTGGATGTCCATAACCACCAAGGGAGTAATGCTCACTATTCTCCGTTATCTCCATAACCTCCTCCATGATCTTCCTCTCAAATGCTTAATGACATATTCAATGACATATTTATGTAGTGACCATTCCACTCAATAGTGGCCATTTCTCTCAATAGTGGCCATTCCACTCACTTTTTACAATAATGATTCTTCACTTTTCGTGCCTATATAAAGGCCTTGTAATAGATATGAAAGATATCATAATTGAAGAAGAAATAAGAATCTCTTCCTCTCTGTATCTTTTAGCTTGTTTTTTCTTATTCTATATTGTTATTTTGAGCTATATTTCATAACAAAGCAAGATTATTGAGAGACCCGAAAAGATTCACACATGTCATATAATTATGTTTCAATCTCGAGCAAGTTGCTTTATTTAACAATATATATTATGACATGTGAAAAAATATATGCAGCTATTACTACTAGTGGGAACAAAATTGGAACACATAATAACAGAATTGGCTCAAGAGGTTGCAGAGAGGTCATCAGTAGTAGATGAAACCACACCAGTTAGACCTTCTGATGAATTGTTTTGGTTTCACAATCCAACTCTTGTCCTTTACCTCATTCACTTCATTTTGTTCCAAAATTCCTTTGAGATTGCTTTCTTCGTCTGGATTTGGGTAACTTACTTCACTCACTTTTCTTACTTTTATTCACCCTAGATGATGAGAGCTTCTAACATCAACATTATGTTAATTGACAATTCTCCAGTGTACTTATGGATTCAAATCATGCATCATGGAAGAATTGGGTTTCATTATTCCAAGACTTGTTATTGGGTAAACCCCTCATATCCCATAGACATTTTTTCATTCTCAAGAAACACTAGTATTAGTTTTTGGCCAAAAAATGATCATGTAAATTTTGTGGTGTGACAGGGTGATTGTTCAAGTTCTTTGCAGTTACAGTACTTTGCCCTTATATGCTCTTGTCACACAGGTAAAGAGTTCTACCCCATGTCTTTTAGGATTTATATCCCCTTATATATCAAATCTAATTTACAATGATGACGAGGGTCTTCCGAGACAGCCTCTCTACCTTCTTAAGATAGGGGTAAGGTGTGCGTACACTCTACCTCCTCGGATCCACTAGAGGGATTACACTTGGTTTATTGTTGTTGTTGTTGATTCTTGAATAAGAATTGTGTGTGATTTTTGCAAATTTGACATGGACACAGATGGGAAGCAGATTTAAGAAAGGGATATTTGATCAGCAAACAGAAGGGCTTCTCAAGATCTGGGCAGATGGTAGTAGAGCTGGTTCATCAACCCAAAATAAGATGGCCATGGAAACACTAGAAAGCATCTGTGTTTCTAAGAGACCTGCAATTGAAGGCATCTCATCAACTGTTGAGCTTTCTAATCTAAACAATCATCAAACTCCTTAATTATACAGTTATTAGCATTTCTGATGAACATAATAAGAATGAACATTTATTTATTCTTTTAAGAGTAAACGGGTTGTCTTTGCGCTGAGAGAGAGGGAGAGATGTTCATGCTCCACAATCAAATGTTGTGTTCATTTTCCAGGATCAATTAGTCAGGCATCAGCTCTAGTTACATAACACCATTTTTTTTTTTTCTCGATAAGCATCTTTCGATTTCTAGATACAAATATGGAGGGATATTTAAAACACGCCCCTCTAGCTCAAATTATTTACACTAGTTCCCTAGACAGAGTCGAGGGTCAACATTCCTCTTACTACAAAGTTGAGCAAAAACTAGGGTGCTTGGAGTTTTCCATTGGGAGAGGTTCCATTTCTAACCTCCCACGGTTAGAGGCAGAGCCTTCACCATTGTTTTCTTCTTCGCTTTCAAGTTGACTCAGTGTCCTCTTGGCATAGACTGTGAAAGCCACTATAGTGATGACTGCTATAATGAATGAAATAACATTATAGACAATCTCAACTCTAGTCAGGTGATGGTTCCCATATTGCACATCCGCAAACGTCCTCATTAGCCGACCACTGAATACAAATTGCAGGAAGACAACATAAGCAAATGAACAAAGAAAAGAAGGGATGGGTGCAGTGTGGGGTATTTACCTGTAGATATAAATGAAGGATTCCGGAATCATTCCTGCTATAGATCCACAAAAATAAGGCCAGAACCTCATCTTTGTCACTACCACTGCATAATTGAAGATTGTGTACGGAAATGGCGAAATCCTAAATACTGCAACCACACGGAATTGATGAAACCAACTCCCTTCTCCCACCAGTCTAATCATGGCTGCCTTCTGAGGCCATCTCTTTAACCATTGCTGCAGATGCAATCAACTAAACACGATGAAGAACAATACAGGAAATTACTATTACCAGTCCATAAGACCAACGAACTAATAAACTAGACAAGACACAAAGGTATCTCACATGAATTCTATCTCGGAAAAGCAAACCAACAAAATATGGCAAGGTCATCCCAACTGTTGTTCCAGCCATTATAATAACAAATCCAAGTCCGTATCCAAAGATCATCCCAGCGAGCCACATTGATGGTCCAGAAGGAATTAGGAATACCGGGAACAGTGCCAAAGAAGCTACAATTACGAGAGCAAGCACTGGACGGCCAAATGCAGTGGCTTCCCATTGTAGGACTGGAATTAGAATCTGTAAACTTAAAAAATGCAATGATTAACAAGGAAACCTTACTTATGCATCTTCTACACTAAGAAACAGAAGAAGAAAAACAAAATATCCATTGCAAGAGTAATGCACTTGTAAGGTACAGGCGGAGTCCGTCCCGTGTCTGAGAATCTTGAGCTGAATCACACTAATTTCCAGTTTAATAAATAAAGGGGAAGTGTTATCTTTCTCCACCTCCAGTTTTATTATCAATATTTCTGTTGCAGCTCACATAACTAATCAAAGTTAATTTGCAGAGCCCAACATAGTACATATTCATTAATTCCCATCAATGCTATATGCACTGTGTAACATCTGTTAACAGAACATGATCCAATCTGCCAGAATCTCATGCCATTCAGTCATTTTTAATCAACATAAGAGGATTCATATATGCCTACAACTCAAGCAAACCATCTCGATTTGTTTGGCATTGTTTGACTGGACACAAAATTAAGAAAAAAGGGCGAGGCGGAGACCTTTGAAACATAAGCTGAATATGCATGAAATACCATAATACCCATGTACCAAACAATTTGGTCTATACTCAGTGAGCCTACAAGTCATGTCAATGTCAAGTGGAATGTTAAAGTGGCTGGTTTCTAAAGATGGAAATGTGTCAATCTTTTTGGACGGACAAAAAATGAAAGAGCACTGACCAAATAGGGACATATGGAGTATATAGATAATAGCATGATCAAAATGAAAATTAGGAGTACCTTCTGAAAAAGAAAGGGCGCTCCCCACTTTATGAAAACTAGTAGAATTATCACAGTGAAAATACACCCAATGATGGCCTTGATCCACCATATAATAGACTCTCTTCTGGACAGTGATTGGGATTGTGAAGTTTCAACTTCAGATGTTCTTTCATTTCTTATAACAAGCCTCACATACTCGCTGTCTTCCTTTACTTGACTCTCACGGTTAGTGTTGGCTTTGTCTGAATCATCCGTTGACTCTGGCATCATCGTTCGACACCAGAAACCTGTAGATGAAAGACAGATGAACAAATTAAAATATGTAATCATAGAGACTGAAGATATTCTCATACGTATTCAGGATTCTGTGGGTCATATTTCATCATAATGAAACATAAAAGGATGAAGAGGAAAGAAAGTTCCATTACCAATCCAGATAATCATATGAATTATGAAATGGTAACTATTAACTAAACCCATAATATGAGCATATTTTTTTACTGAACTTGTACAGATTAGCCCAACTATACCAAACCTGGTCCTTTTTTTCAATAAGCCCCAAAAAAAGGAATCACCAGCCAATAGCTGAAAATAAAAACAACGCCATTCCACAGAAAATCATAAGTACATCTACATTGAGAAAAGAGACACACGTTTCTCTACACAAAAAAACAAAGGGAGTAGTACTCTTCTCCATAAAATCCATTAGTGGAACTTATCCAGAAAAAAGAATCCCCTAACGGAATTCACAGTAGCACTAAGATAAGAGCCATGTCCTAACAGCCTCGAAACCCCTTTTGGGATAAGTTGTGCTCCTATTCCCCTTAGAAGCCCAAGAATAAATAGCAGCACCACGGACCAGAAGTTTAAAGTGGTTGAGGCGGAAAATTTTGGTTTGACATTTCCCTTTCAAGCACCTTCAAGTTATGGTGTTACAAAGACCTGCTAACATTTACTCAAGAACCAAGAACATACCGTTTCATCTTGGTCTTGCATAAGGTAAGCAACGAAACTGGTAGAGTGTGGAGACCAAGTATTTTATAGTTTTATACCACCGATTCCTCATGACATAATCAGATTCAACTTTTGAGCCCTCTACCCCCACTATCCTATCCCAATACATTACAAAATAATGGAAAGAAGGAAATTGCTAACACTGAACTTAGCTTATATCAAGTATCATTATGGTTCAGACTTCTCAGCAAATTAAATTGGTGGACTCAAATGACTCGTTGAGTAGTAAAATTCCAAAACCGGAGTTTCTTCCCTGAAAAGGAATCAATCTAGACAAAGCTAAAAAATTCTGGACTCCAAATTCTGCATTCCTATAACCTAATAAAGGTACTAAAGAAGCATGATTTAAGGTGAAAACAGTTTTCCTAGGAGGAACGATATACAAAAAAGCCTATTTTAAAGCTATGACAGGTCAACAATTAAAATCTCTAAACCTCTCAGACGGTCAGACTTTAGAGTCAATGGCTCCAAGATCCTTAAACTCCTCTGAGCAAAGGACCGAAGATTTATTTTTAACAGATACACTGGACTACTAGTAGCTCCCAACTGGACATATCCACCTATTTCTCACGTGCCAATTCTTAGGTAGCTCAACAACGTGCAAGTTCAAGCTTGCAGCTCAAAAATTAGGAACAATACATCATTTTGAACAGTCAGATTATGTTAGGCCATCTAGTAGAAAGTAGTCTTTGCAGCGAATGTTCAGGTAACAACAGCTTGCAACAGTCGAACTGTCTAAGCAATGCGTCGATAGTTAAAACAATTGATCCAACAAAGAATTTTACAGGCAGAAAATTGAAGTTACAATGGCGTTTCCAGTTTGAAAGAAGAGGTAATAAACTAGTCAACCATTGAGCTAGGGAACTTTCCATCAATACAATAGAATACTGTGCTATTAATGTCCAGCTACATGCTTCACTTACATCAAGTGAAGGAATTTCATCCAGAGGGGGATTAGGGTATAGCTTCGTTGATGAGTTTACACACTTTTTACCATATTGGTGAAGGTTCATATTGCCGTATTTTATTCTCCACCACTTCCCTCCTCCCACTTCCCTCTCCCCCAATATGATAATAATCAAAAAAAAAAAGAAAGGAATTTCTTTTAGATAGCAATAGTTTTTGCATATGTAGTTCCAAAAAATCTAGTACCATTCTTGGTCCTGAGCACATAAAGAAGTAATACCACCAAAGGCATGCATGTATGAAGAGGAAAGATGGATCAACAAAGAAAAATTGGAAACAGAAGGCAAAACACAACACCGTTTCTCCTATTTGAGCAAGCTCAATGCTCATCAAATTTGAACTCTAGAACAGAAATACAAAGAAATTATACTTCAAATTGCAGAACACTTGAACCACATATTTTTTAAACTAACGCTTAACACTTGAATTCCCTTTTAGACTAATTGCAGGGTGAACAATTCATATTTCCTGAGCTCCACTGTACTCATCAAACTACACATACCAAGAAAAAGAAATTCCAAAATAAAGCAGGAGACTTCTTATAAACCTCCAATAAGGAAAGTACATTCAACCCCACCTTCTATCTAAAGAATTCATTTTTACCAAAACCCACAAACAAACAAAAATCGTGCTCGTATAAGCTGCTGTTGTAGGTTTTACCTTTGTTTTCTTTTAATTTAAAGTTCTACTTTTCACAAAATAAAGACAAATGTAAATGAGCAGAAACCAAAAGATCAAAGCTTTAGCAGTAGTCAAAAGATGATCAAAGTGAACCCATAACCACATTAAAAGAGTAAAAGGGTTTTCAAGAAAAATTACCGGTGACCGGAAAAGATGAAGTTTCCCGGCGGGTACCACTAATTAGAGAATATTCAGTGTAGTTGGTAGAGAAATGCTGCTAATGTGTAAGGTGTAGGGCTTTCCCAGGCACTTTCTTTGGTTTTCTAATTTTGCTTTTTTCTTCTGCTGCTTTCCTTTTTCGTGAATAAATTGGTTTCCTTTTATTTTATTTTTTTGAATATTGTCGTTCCGTGAAGGATTTCCCTAACTTGCCTTCGACTATTTTTCTTCCTTTTTTTTCCTTCCTTTTTTTGTTTTGTGAAGATGAAATATTATTCAAATAAAGGATGACGACTTATTCCTTCCTAATGAAGGTATTGATTTTATCTCTTAAAGTAAGTAGTGTAATTATAAGGATAATAAGTAGTAGTAAAAAATTGAATTAACATTTCGTGTTTTAAATATTTTGACAATAGAAAAGGTCCAAATACCCCTCTGACCTTTACGATAAGGTCTACAAATAACCCTCCTTATAAGTTTGGCCCATTACCAATATTTTCTTACACTCTTGGCCTGGATACCCCTTTATTTTAAACGGCTGCCACAATGGATAAGTTATCTACTCATAATGTGACATGTGAAAATTTAATTTACATCCAAAATTTTAATTCATACCCAATCGGATTTAATTGGCCTATCCGTTACCCGACCCGTAAAACTTAACCCTTTCTTAAAAATACTCAAATTTGACTTAACTTATCAATTAGGGATAGTTATTCTTGTCAATCTCAATAAGGAACTCATAGAGTTACAGCTAATTCCGGTACAATTCTGGACGACCAAGTTAGGGTTAGTGCCCCGACCATTTTTCACCATTCAATTCCCAAAATATGAGCCAGGGATCTCTGAGTTCATCATATGGTTCGAGGAGGAAATGCTATTGTGGAGTTGCTGCTAGACAATTCACTGCTTGGACTTCAAATAATGCCGGCAAACGATTTAACAAGTGTTCAATGCCGGCGGACGGTTAGGCTCACCACAGTTACTACATATCATCTGTGTCCCCTTTCTTGATTGACTCCACTCCCTATAAAATTTACCTTAGGCATTTAAGTTAATAAAATGCTTTCCAATTCAAAGGATTCATCAGGTAAATCATTTTGACACACATTGCCTAAGTGATGCCAAATATTACAACACAAAAGAAAACAAGGAAAGAAATTGCTTGGGAACTGAGTTTGGAAGGAAAATGAGAACATGAAAGTGAATTAGAGAAGTTTCTTTTGGTTAACCAAACTTGATCATATTGTGAATGCGACTTCCAAATTGATTGCTTGGTAGCAAAGTAAGTTAAGTATTATTTTTTTGGATAGTGCTTCTTTTTGAATGGCATATAAATGGGCATATGCTATTAGACAATCAACTCAATTTTGCATCATCAGTGGCCTACACTTTTTTTTTTGTTAATATAGGTTTGTTATTCATGGTCCAGTGATCAAGGAAGTGGTTTGAGAACCTCAAGTTTCTTCCTATCTGTCCAAGTCTTGATAGATAGGGATGGGCATTATTTGGACAAACCCGAAATCCAAATCAAAATCCGAATTTTTTGGATTTTTAGCTTGGATTTTCGGATTATAGATTGGATTTTGGATTTAATTTTTAAAATTTGGATTTCGGATTAGATGTTGAATTTGGTACTTCAAATTTTTGGATATCCGAAAATCCTAAATTCTTATACTTCATATTTAGTCAATTATCCATATGTCAATAGTAATAAGTTCAATACCCTACCCATTTATCTCATATATTCAATATTAATTACTAAGTTACTATGAGAATACTTTCTATTTGGATATGGTTTTACCATTTCTACTTCTTATCGGCCATATTAATGTCTCTATTATATTTTTTTGATAATGACTTCATTACTCTAATACTTCTTTTCGATGATAGTGGTGAGAATGAGGAACTTTTTAGGCAATTTAATATGAGTACTTCATTTGAATATCCATTTTTATAAAAAAAAAAAAGAAACATCTCAACTTATAAGTTCAAACCGAAAATTCAAAATATCCAAACCGATTAATCCGAAACCGAACTTATTTGGATTGTCATTTCTTCAATCCGAAAATCTGTACTGCCCGAACGCCCACCCCTATTGATAGTTAGAGTTATCTGGTACCTGTTGCTGGTGGAAGGGGGCAGATAACCCGTGAAATTAGTCAAACTATGTGCAAGTTGACCCGGATACCACAGTTATAAAAAAAATAGGTTAGTTCAAGATGGACGGAGAAGTGACGTAAAAATTGCACGGGACGCCCTATTTGGTCGCCCCCATTTAACCTGTACCCATATTTTTAAAATTATTTAACCTATACTCTAATTTTAACAACTTCAGACGCCTCCTCTTCTTCCTCCTGACCTATGCGTTCGCCAATAGCAGCGCCTAATTTCAGACAATGTCTGAAGTTTATACTTTAGTATCTGAAGTATATACCCCATATGTTTGACAATCTTAGCCAAATATTTGAAGTTCATAACCAAATGTGTGAAGTGTATGTCAAAATATCTGAAGTTATATCAAAATGACTGAAGTTTATAGAAAAATATCTGAAGTACATAATTGAACTGAAGTTTGCCCTTGCTTATGAACTGAAGTTTGCGTGATTGCTTTGCAAGTCAGGCCAAACTTCAAGCAAAAATATCTGAAGTTTGGCTTTGATAAGGCTACACTTCAGGTAAAAAAATTCTGAAGTTCAAACTTCAGACATACACAATACTGAAGTTTGACCTTGCTTATGAACTGAAGTTTGCGTGATTGCCTTTGCAAGTCAAGCCAAACTTCAGGCAAAAACATCTGAAATTTTGCTACACTTCAGGTAAAACATTCTGAAGTTCAAACTTCAGACATAAATTTTTGCTGCTTCAGGCCCGTATGTGAAGTTACGCGAAAAGTGGGTACACTTGCAATTTTTTTTGCAAAGCGAGTATAAGTTAAAAGGTGACCCAAAAAGCAGATACAGATACAAATTCCCAGAAGTGACTCATAATTGAATTTTCCCAATTTCAGATAATTTTATATGGTAATTGCTATACCAAATTATATAGTAATAATAGATTTATGCCGTTGATAAAAAAATAGTAGTAAAAATCCTAGAATTAGTCTGCGCGTTCACATTAGTCTTGCATTTTGACTTATTTCATTTGGTCGCTATTTGGCAGCTGCGCAACCTTTTATAATACATGTTTATCTTGACAGGGATTCTTACTTAAACCTTAATAAACTAATCACTCAAGTCACACTAATTATTTTTGTTTAGAATTTAATAATGGGTATAGCCATGATAAATTTATTATGGATCGAATAGATATTTTAAATATGGTGTAAAAAGCTGCGAAGGGATTAAAGATTTCGTTCATTGACTTTGCATTGAATATGCTTCTAGAAGTTGAATTTATGCCACCATTAATGAACTTTTCCACAACTCACAAACACTCAAGCATAGTAAAATATTTCATCTTATACAAAATACAGGATAATAAAGAGCTGTTGGGACTTGCACTTGAATTTTTTTCTTTTTTTTTTTCAACAATATAAAAATTCTAATGCTTAAAAACAGGGGTGTTCGTGGTTCGGTTTGGATCGATTTGGATAGGTTTTTTCCTAAAAAGAAACCAAACAAGCAAGTCGATTTTTCCAATATTGGAACCAAACCAAATCAATTAAGTCGGTTTTTTATCGATTCGATTTATGTCGGATTTTATGTTTTTTCGGTTTTTTATCTATTTTTTCTTAAATATATGAGACATGCACTACCAAACGCATATTCCGCCGGCTACATTTTTAACATAACACTATCAAATCAATTGCTCTTTGAGAAATCTATTATTTACCAAGATATATTGATGATAATTAAATAAAAAAGTGAGGAATAATTTAAGGATTAAATTTAAATTAAAATAAATTATTTTAACATGAAATAGATTCTTAGCAACAAAAAAAACTACCAATCAAACTAGAATGTAAAGGCAAAAAATTAGACTAAAAGCGAAAATGATTAACATGTACTATAATATTTTAGAAACTTTGTATAAAAATATACATATAGATAGCTGAAATAATAAATAATAAATAGCTACTTCTATAGTTGGTTTGGTTCGATTTTTTCCTAGTTATTTTTTGAGTAAAACCAAAACCAAACCAAATTTGATCGGTTTTTAAAATTCAAAACCAAAACCAAACCAAACCAAAGAAGTATCGATTTTTTTTGTTGGTTTGGTTTAGTTTTAGAATTTTTACCTCCTATAGCAAAGGTTGATACCTTATTTATTTTAAATAAATACTCTTTTAAAAAATTATATTCTATCACTAGCTTTTAATTTTAATAGCCAAATATCTATTTATGGAACCTCCTACCCTTAAGCCATAAAATATGCTTTGTATTAATTTTCTCTCTCATTCTTTCAGATTTTTCTCTCACAAAATTACTGTATTTGATGTAAACTTCTCTCTCCACATTCTCTCTCTCTAATTTCTCTCACTCACATTGCCATTCTGTAATACATTCTCAGAACCCACGATTCTTCACTTCAATTTCTCTCACTCTCATCGCTATTCTCTTCCCCTTTCTCAGAAACCACGATTCTTCACTTCTTCATCTGCATTGTCTCTCTCAATTTTCTATATTTTTTGCTCCAAATAGTTGTGGTAAGTATTTAAGTTGTTAGATTTTCGCTTTTACTGTGTTTCTTCTGTTTATCTCTACTAAGTTTTTATAAATAATAACCATTGTTATGCTTCCAACAAAAAACTTTAAAGTTCCTCTCCAATGGCTGATTCAACATCCAAGAAGATGGTTTAAAGAGGTATACCCACCAACACACTCAACTTCGATGGTCCTCTTTCTCTTTGCAAATCACTCAAGCGGAATTGTCACGACTCAAAATCCACTAAGGGTCGTGATAGCGCCGGACACCATTGTCAGGCAAGCCAACACCAATTTACAAGTAATTTTTTGTTTTAGTATTTTTGAAATCTTTTCCTTTATACATTAAACAATAAGTAATGAATTTCACTGAATAGATATTGATGTCTTTAACAAACTTAATATTAAATAATACCATGTCACAAGTGCATGTGCAATCACTAAGTAATTAAATAAAGTACAATAACTGTACGGAATACAAATTGGACAGAAAGTAAGTACAATACAC